CCTGAGTTTTCACATACGGTTAGGAAACCATGTTGGGGTTCAATTACCCAGGACCTCCACATGAAGAGCACTTGGCTGATTGTTGTGCCTCTATAGCGAATCAGATTGCTATAGGGGGGAAAGGGATGGTCTAGAGCATTGGAGCACGGTGGGGTGATTCCTGTTTTTAAACACGAGTTAAAACACCTTGCTCCAATGAATTGTTACACCCGATCGTACTACCTGGGTGAACATGTCTCATAGGCTGGGTTCAATCAAACTGCTTGCTTGCTTATAAATGCTTGGTTAGGTTAGAGTGCCCGCAATTGCGAGATGCCCAGGGCAGTGATGTGATATTAACCTCCTTGGTATTGCCTGGCTGTAGACTTATAATATTTTGTTTGTTTGTTTGTTTATTTAACGGGATGAACCCTTTTTCCTTACAAAAATTACAATATACACATATAATTAACATATAAACTGTAGTCATATGTTACAATTTTAAAAAGTATTAATAACATTAATGTCTCAATTTCTTTAAACTGTTCTTGAACGAGGACACGGATAAATTAAACAATTCAACACTATCTTGCAAATTATTGGCAGTTCTCAACATCCTTGTGATTGATTCACTTTTACCATAATTAGTGTGATGAAACTTTAGTCTAAACAGGTCAGGAGAGCGTGTTCTTCTAGAATTTACATTAAAAACAATTAATTCCAGCAGTTCCGGACAATCAACATAACCATTAAGAATTTTATGCAAAAAACGCAATTCACACTCAGATTCTCTATTTTCTAAAGTTTTCATATTAAGTTGACAAAGAATATAGTTATAATCACAGTTAGTTCTATTAAAATAATATTGTAGGCAACTTTATGCTGTCAGTGTTTGACAGAAGTCACTGTCACTGCAATGATGCTGCAATGCTAATTTTATTGTTTTGGTAATATTATGTGTACAATTTTATGTTGATTAAAACCATATATCCTAGGTTTTGCTTTATTATTTCAATTTAATCAACATAAATGGAGAAGTATCTAAGACCCGAGAGGTTCGACGGGGATCCATCTGTGAAATCAACAGCAAAGGAATGGGACCATTGGAAAATTACTTTTATGAACTTTTTAGCTGCCCATATTGTCACTCCCGCTGTTTCTGCTGATGGTGCTGCTGTACCACCCCTAGATATTAATGATACTAAGCTACAACTATTAATAAATCATATTTCTCCACGAGTTTATACATATATAAGCGATTGTAACACTTACAACGAATCCATTCAAACTCTTGACAAAATATACATCAAACCAAACAATACTATTCATGCTCGTCACATACTAACCACTAGACGACAACAGACAGATGAGTCCATCGATTCTTACATGCAATCTTTAAAACAGCAAAAGACTGCAATTTTACTGCTGTAGATGCTGATACTAATAAAAATGATACAATTCGTGGAGCTTTTATCGCTGGAATGTCATCCACAAAGATACGATCGAGATTGTTAGAGAGTTTAACACTAACTTTAGAATAAACTTACAATATAGCTATTTCAATGGAAATGGCAGAACTCAACTCTCAGGTTTATTCAAATCAACATTCAACACTTAGTGCACTACCTGGTACCTATCAATTTGAGTCACAGAGCTCTCCAACAAATTCTGAATGTGTCACTGTGACAGCTGCTACCAACTCTACTAACTCTTCTAGGTCAGGACACAAATGTTTTTTCTGTGGTGGGCCAATACATTCAAGAAAGAACTGTCCTGCTCGAGAATTCATCTGCAAATCCTGTAATAAAAAGGGACACTTTTTATGACACTAAAGGGACACAAAAAGGTTTGCCGCTCCAAGAGCACTAGTGCATCTGCCAACATATTTGAAGGCTATGATAACTGCACAGCCTGCATTATTGCTGCTACTCCTGCTTCATTGAAGAAAGCTATAGTGCCTGCATCTATAAAAGGCCTTCGTGCTGATGCTCTTATAGATACTGGTAGCTCTGTCAGTTTTATTAATGAAGACTTTGCTAATCTGTGCAAACTCCCTAGGAAGCCTTGTACTCAGACTGTTTCTATGGCCTCATTATCACACACCTCTGAAGTTAAAGATGTGACTACTCAAAATATTACAATTGGTGACTACTCGTACGACAACATTAATTTACTTATAGTTAAAAATCTCTGTGCTGATATAATAATTGGTCATGATGTTCTATCTAACCACTCAAGTCTAGAATTTGAGTTTGGAGGACCTAAAGAAGTATTCAAGGTATGTAGTGTAGTTGAAGCCTCAGTACCTGCAGTTCCTTTATTTTGTAACCTGACTTCAAATTGTAAACCTATCGCAGTAAAATCGCGCAGGTATAGTGCTGAAGATCAGATTTTTATTAAAAATGAGATAAAGAAGCTTTTAAATGATGGAATTATTGAAGAAACTCAGTCCCCTTGGAGAGCACAGGTGCTTATCACTAAAAACGAAACTCACAAGAGGCGACTTGTCATTGATTATTCTCAAACAATTAATCGATTCACTCAACTTGATGCCTATCCACTGCCAAATATCGAGGAAATGGTGTCCAATGTATCACAATTCACTGTCTTTAGTGCAATAGATTTCCAAAGCGCATACCATCAGGTTCCAATACTTCCACATGAAAAGATGTACACAGCTTTTGAAGCCACTGGGAAACTGTATCAATTTTGTCGCATTCCGTTTGGTGTTACCAATGGTGTAGCCAGTTTCCAAAGAACAATCGACTGGCTCATACGTACAGAAATTCTTGAAGGTATATATGCCTACCTTGATGACATAACTGTTTGTGGTAAGACGAACGTAGAACATGACAAAAATCTTGAGAACTTTCTGAAGGCCACAGACAAATATGGCTTGACACTAAACAAAACCAAGAGCAAATTCAATCAAACAGTAATAAACTTACTTGGTTATACTATAGGACCAAACCATGTCATAAAGCCCGATGCTAGCAGACTACAACCCTTATTAAAAATGCCTCCACCGAACGACACTGCATCTCTCAGAAGGGTATTAGGTATGTTTGCCCATTATTCAAAATGGATTCCCAAAAATTTTCCGAAAGGGTCCACACATTAGCTCATGTCAACAATTTTCCGTTGAACGAAGATGCTTTATCTTGTTTTGAAAATCTGAAATCTATAGTTGCAAACTCATCTGTTCACGCTATCAACGAAAATATGCCATTTGTTGTTGAAACTGATGCTTCAGAACACTCAATTGCTGCTACCTTGAGTCAGGATTCCAGACCCGTTGCTTTCTTTTCAAGATCACTTAACTCTAGTGATCTGAACCATTCTGCTGTGGAAAAAGAAGCATACGCTATTGTTGAATCTCTAAAGAAGTGGCGCCATTTTCTTATAGGAAAGCCTTTCACAATTATTACTGATCAAAAGTCTGTAACATTTATGTTTAACACGAAGCATTCCAGCAAGATTAAAAATGAGAAAATACAAAGATGGCGACTTGAATTGGCACCTTATAAATATGACATTGTGTATCGACCAGGAAAAGACAACCAAGCAGCGGATGCTTTATCGCGCATCAGTTCTTGTGCTACTACCACGGCGGCAGGTGCATCAAAACTCAAGTCACTTCACAATGCACTTTGTCATCCAGGGTAACACGTATGTTTCATTGGATAAAATCGAAGAATTTGCCTTTCTCTCTCAATGAAGTCAAGACTATGACCCGTGACTGTGGGGTATGTGCTAAAATCAAGCCGAGGTACTTTAAGAATGAGGGGTTTTTTCCAAAGCTTATAAAAGCCACATCTCCCTTCGAACGCCTTAGTATTGACTTAAAAGGACCAGTGCCTTCAAATACCAATAATCGTTATATTCTTACGGTAATAGATGAGTATTCCAGATTCCCATTTGCTTTCCCATGCAGTGACATTAGTGCCAAAACAGTAATCAAGAATTTAAATAACTTATTCATGATGCTTGGAATGCCTGCATACATTCATTCGGATAGAGGGACTCAATTTCTATCAGCTGAAGTCAAAGAGTTTCTCAACTCCAGAGGAATCGCAACAAGTAGAACCACTGCTTATAATCCTCAAGGAAATGGTCAAGTGGAAAAGTTGAATTCTACTATTTGGAAAGCTATTCAACTGGCCTGTGAATCACATGAAGCACCTATTGAGACTTGGGAACAATACCTACCTGTCGTGCTGCATTCCATTCGTTCACTGTTGTGTACCGCAACTAACTGTACGCCGCATGAAAGGATGTTCGTGCACACACGTCGATCTCCAAATGGGAATACAATACCGTCATGGCTAGCAAAATCTGGGCATGTCTTGATGAAAAGGTTCGATCGGAAAAACAAGTACCAGCCTATCGTAGAGGAAGTGGAGGTAATAGAGGCAAATCCTGAATACTCTTTTGTTAAACTGAAAGACGGACGGGAAACCACAGTGTCTAATCGTCATCTGGCTCCGAGTGGACGAGGTGAAGGGGAAATACTAGATATACCAGGTCAAGAATCAGTGTTCGTAGAAGACCCACGTGAGTTACATTCGAATCTTAATGATTCCTCATCCAATACAACCACGCAAAACATGCAGCCCCTGGCAGATACATCTACATCTCCCCCTCCACTGGATTCAGTACTTCTTGAAGAACCCCCAATGAGTTCTGAACAGAGCTTATCGCCTTCTTCAGCACTACCTAGAAGATCTGAAAGAATTCTTCATTTACCACGGTATCTGGAAGATTATAGTGTGGGAGAATGATGTGATATTAACCTCCTTGGTATTGCCTGGCTGTAGACTTCTAATATTGTAGGCAACTTTATGCTGTCAGTGTTTGACAGAAGCACTGTCACTGCAATGCTAATTTTTTTTTATTGTTTATTATGTGTACACTTTTATGTTGATTAAAACCTAGGTTTTGCTTTATTATTATTTCAATTTTGGCAATTTGTTAGCTATGGAATTTAAAGTTGAAGTTAAGGAAAGTTTTTTTAATTGTAGTGAAAGATATGTAGGGAGTCAGTTACACAGATCAACAAATAATATTGAAGGTTTTAGTAATGATAAACCAGATGACAAAACAGGTAAGATAACTAATAAAACAGTAACAATAAACAATTTGATGTAATTTGTATTTATTAGAAATAGAAATAAAAGCTGAAATTAAGAAAGAACTTGCTCAAGATGAACAAGGATATAATATAGAAAGTCAACTAACTACATCCCTTGATCTTGGAGACTTGAAGAATGAACCAGATGAAGATAACTCAGGTGAGTGAAGTATTAAAAATATGTAGAGATGGTAAATCTTTAATTTAATCTATCTACCTTAAATATTGTATTTATAAAGTAATAATCCATAATTGATTGTAATAAACATTACTTTTTACAATTCTTCTTGTCGTTTTTGATGTCCAATCTGGAAATTGGTTTCAAAAAATTATTAATAGAAAATTATTTTAACCTGTAGATGTTCATTAATTGGCACTTTGTAGCAGCAAATTTTAAATTGGCTTTTAACTTGGCTGATTTATATGGTTTGTGATGGGCTGAATCCAACTCATTTTGTCCTAGTATATCACTTTTCTTCGCAAATTGGGTATCAGTTTTTCCAATAGTTTTTTTTAGAAACTGTTTCTTGTTATAAACTGGTTGCACTTCAGCCAACTATACTCCATTGGTTCAGCTCAGGCATATTTTGACAGATTCATTGTCGGAAACATATAACACAACAATTCCTACTTCTCAGTATTAATAGCTCAAGTATACTATTGCAGACTTCTCTCTTTGAAAAAAAAAAAAAAAAATTATTTTAAATACTGGAAGTGTATACTAAACCCATCAAATTTTGGGTAGTATATATTTAAAAAAATATATTTTAATTGTTATAATTTAACATAACTATTTATTATCTGGTGTAGACAAGTATTGATTGTCGGTAATTCGCAAAGTTCTATTTTATTTACTATTTAGTTTGTTTACTATTAATATTGGCTATGAGTGCGTTTGCTTGGTTGTATAGTAATTTCCAGCCACTATTAGTCTGTCAAATATAACTAACTTCTCAAAAAAAAAAATTACTAAATTCACTAGACAGTTTGGAATGGGAATAGTGATCCGAGTATAGCTCATTGTTCCTGTTTATATTCATTCATATATCATTTTGGCTGAAATTTTTTTCTGGCCATAGACATAAAAAACAATGGAATTTGATGTAACCAGCTGGTTGCCTAGTTGTGGCCTTCATATTTAAGTTTTTAAAGAATCATTGGTTGCATTCACCAGACTCAGTCGCTTAGAAGCTGCTTGCAAGCGGCTTATAATCGATTCTGGTGAATGATGTGCTGATCATGCACTAGATCCAAGCGGCTGATAAGCAGTTGCCATTTTATTCAGCCTTAAATTTGTTGTGCTTAATCATCACTGAATGGATGTATAGCTTATCAATGCGTATAGCGTATGTACTTTATCAAATAAAAAATAGTAAATTTATTCGAAATAGAATATAAATATAATAACACTATAAAATATAATGTATAAATAAACAAATATAATATAAAATATGAAGGGTAAGGGGGAAAAACAAACGATGTCACAAAAGTAACTTACAGAGAAAAGTTAATTAATGTTACTAAACAGCTGGTTATGATCTTAGAAATAAATAAAACTGCATACCAATATTTTTAAGTAGTTTATTACTATATTGTTAATATCTAAACAAAAGGATACAAACTTAACATTATTAGATTTTGTTGAAAAAATAAAAAAAACACGTTAATGTCACAAATAACTTGTTAAAAACCAACTATGTCCATTTTCTACATAAGCCTACACCGAGATTTTTCATTTGTATTGCAATGTTTCATAAAATTCTTTACCATTTGAAAGACAAAATCGTTTTAAAACACTTGCAAATCGTTGTACTTAGCCTGGGAAATTGGTAATGGTCCATGGTATGCTTGGCTTGGTAACTCAAATTCGCCATCTTTCATTTTTCTTGGAACAACAGATTTTATTGATCTACCTGTTATTTGCTTGCTTTCCCAAGTGCCATTATAAGTGGTTCGCTAAAAAACCAATCCGCGTTTTTCTTTCATCAATCGAAGTTCCCTTACTTGTTGTAGAGCTATTGGACACTTACGAATAAATTTTTCTTGCAGAAAAGTAGTCCACTGTTTCGTTAATGTCTGGTCTACGTCTATAACTTTGAACGGTTCCGGCTTTTTTCTTGCATCTTTTAACACATTTATCCAATCTACGGGTAGTTCCATCCTAGTCTTCAAATTTATCAAGCCCATATTTTTATCACATTCTAGATACGAATGTCCTCTAATGGGGAATGTGACTTGAATAGTATCTAGACGCTTTATATCATGGACAATGTAATGAAGTAGCTGGACAACTGAAATTTTTATTTTGTCCGCCAGCTGAGTCACAGAAAATGTGAAGATGGCGGACTTCTGTTGGTAGTTCATTAAAAATGAAAAAGAAGAGAAACGATGATACCTCGTCGCATCCTTTTCTTGACACATATTCAGGATATGTAAAAAAACAGGATTTTCCTGAAGATGGCACGTGAATGTTAAAAGAAAACATAGAAAGTTGTCTCCTATAATAAACATCGTTAGTGCTGATGTTGGGTGGCGAAATGTTTTTCTGGTAGTCCATGACGATTGATTCATATTCAAAAGTTCTCCTAGCTTTTATTCGGGCAGCTCATTTTCTATCATAGAAAACTTGGGCACGAATTTTGTGCAAGTTATTTTCAGTAGATAGAGCTTTTATCTGTGCTGCATTGTTAACAGAATGAAGAGTCTTGATTTTTGCATTAAACTCATCACACTTGCTACAGGTATCTGCCCTTGGGTATCCAAATGAAATGTTAAACTTGTTAGTAAAAATATTTCGGTAGGTGTCATATGAAACAGATGCAATAGGATACTTTTCTTTAAACATTTGGAACATTTTCATAATATTTAACTCTTCACTCAAATACACTTTTTTGGAGTCGTGAATGCTATAATGACTTAACCTGCCCGAAATGAAGCAATATGTTGCTGAATCTGGTTACTCAAATCTGAAGTTAACTGACGATGTTTCGAAGAATGCTTTCCTCTTTTGTCGACAGGAGCAATTCCGGAAGTTTTCAGAGATGCTTGAATATGGACCAACTTAGATCTAGTAATACCATGCATTGCAGTAAAAGCACTACTGCAGACAGATATTTCTTCTATTATGTTTTCTCTCGTCACTCGTACTCTGTAGCGGTAGATAGCATCATGATGTTGTTCTCCATCGATATATATTAGCATTAGAATATAATATTCTAATGCTTTCTTATTTGGACACCGTTGGTATTATTCCTATACAATTCAGCACATGTTTGGGACCGGATATTGTCAACACAATGAGTTGATTACCTGAAAATCTCATAAAATGGACATCGTTGGTTTTTTCCCCTTACCCTTAATATCATCCCCAAACAAAAATGCTTCAACGTTATTATCAATTTTAGTTAGGTATTGTTATTTATTCTGTGGTTAGGTTAATAAAAACAAAAACAAAGCAACAAGCACAAGTGTCAAACGTCAGTCGTTCACCAAACTTTAATTCTTAGCATTAAGTGCAGTGCAATCGGATTGAAAGCAGATTAATCTGGTGAACGCAACCATTGCCAAGTTTTCATAGATCTTGTTCAAGAACACAATGTCACAACAAGAATAGAATCATGGAAACCACCATTATAGAGTATTGCTTTATACTCTTAAGCTTCTTATAAGTTACTCTTTATTTAATTATTTAATAAAGTCACATCTTTGGGTGGATTTATACTATATTTTAAATTAAACATTCAATTTTTTAATGGCACTACAATAAGTTAGATTTGCTTCTGTTAAGCACAAAGATATTTTTTCTATATCTGAATCTAGTAAAAGATAATCCAGATATTAATAAATTTTTATTCTTGAGTCAGAATTCATGTAAATTAGCAGCATCTTTGGGAAAATCCAAATCTCATCAAATCCTTTCGGCCTTTCTGGAAGAACAATTGAGTTGTTGAAGAACAATTTGATTGAGTTTTATCTTCAATGTCAGAGCTTGATCATCTTGAAGCTTTCTTCACTTTCATATCAGCATATTTTTCCTAACTTAACAGGTGACCTTGGAGCATGTGTTTATACATCATGAGAATGAATAGCTGAGGGGATACTGATACATCATGAGATGTTATGACATCCATTATTACCCCTTAATATTATCAACTGCTTGTAAATGTGTAGCTTTTAATAAATAGCTTATATTTTTTTTTAATATAACTGTTGACAGTTTCCATATTGAGAGAATTTGCAAGAGGTTTCTTAGAAATATCCACAAGGAATCTATGTTCCTGTAGTTGGCTGTATACCATATATTGAAAAATTTAATTAAAAATCCTTTGTAAAAGGTATACCTATATTTAAGAACCCAAACGGGCTATGTTAAACAGACAAAACATTTTCGGAATCCATATTCCATCATCAGTGTCCTAGAAAATAGTTAACCACTTAATTAAAAAGAACATAGGTTTAAAATTTTGACTAAGGTTAATACAAAGTGTGGTTAATACTTACTAAGAGTACATGAATGTACCCACTAAATATATGGGTAAAAACCCGTTAACAAATAATTCATTACATTTAGTTTACAAAATTTTCTTATAATGATTTAAGATGTTAAAGTTACCGTTGGATTAGGCAACATGGCGACATATGACTCCACGTTGAAGTTGCTAGTCCCTAGACGGTGTGTCTACGAGGACTGTATGTGAGCAACTGATTGGCAATGATATTTAATGACAATGTTGTTAAGTTATGACGGAAGTTGTAACAGAGCCGTCAATATAACTGTATGTTTCTACTTAAGACAAAAGCCAACATTATTTAAAATTGTGAAAATAAAATAAATTAACATAACAGTATCAACCATCAATGTTGTTGTTTTAAATTTATGTATATACGATGAGATGTGGAAAGAAAAATGTATGGTTGTAGTTAGGCAACCAACTATACATGTGTACAGTAATGTAGTGAAAAAAAGGTTTTAATAAAGGCCCTATATGTTTCGTAAACATTTGGTACCCAGAAAATAGAAACTATAGAAAATGTCACACTAAGAGTGCAGTACGGGTAAGATACGGCAATGCATTTCTTATGGAGAATAAACGCGCAGGGTTGTCGGTTTTCTCTAGCTGTTGATTGCTTATTGTCTCACAGGACCGGCTTGGATAAAAT